TCAAAGAGAGGAACTTTAGCTTTGAGAAGAAAGAAAAACAAGGGCATGTCAAGGCCTCAACCAAAAATGTATGTAAAATAATCTGAGCAGCTTGATTAGCCAGAATGAGATTAGAAGTTGCATTTTGGGCCTTTGAAACATATGGTGTAGCGTATTATATATCACCTCTCCACAATCTCTACAATGACATGCCTATACGAACAGCCTCATTTCCACCCATAGTACAAAGAAAAAACTACACTCCTCTGAAAATGTTGTGAGTGAGTAAGAGAATGGTAAAGTTGTACAAACTCTACTTTCCAAAAGAGAAAACACCCTGTTTTATGAAAATAATTGAATGGGTGCTAAATGAAAACGAATGTCGTAAACGATAGTACATACTGAGAAGTGATGATTCATGATTAAGAGGATTCTGTGTGTATTATTGCACTGTGCTGTTCTTTCTGTTGTTCTTGTCACAGTATTTCCTTGCTGCTAAGAGATTACATTAAAGAGCAATATGCACTGTCCATCTTAGATCTCTTTAAATACTACTGTTCAGTACTTGATGAAAAGCTTACAAATACCACTCAATTCATTGTCAGTTCTTTCTAATACTATAAAACCAGGAAGCTTTTGAAAGCTATTATTATGGTAGGCATTTTACATGTAACCAGGGCTTGAATTTGGACCCAGTCTGGCAATGCAGTATAATAGTTTCATATGTTAAAATAAACTATAGATACAGATAGTGTAGAGAGAAAAGAAGTGAACAGAAAAAAATTATCAAAGAATGTACAAACAAATATTTCCTATCAATAGTCTGTTAAAACAGGAACAGGTATTATAACATGAAGATGTGTTATGTAGTTATTATACCGTAGTCAATTGTAGTAGAGTTATATGCTTTTTGTTTTTAAGTACCAGACCCTGATGGTCAGGACTTTCTTTGTCTTTAAATTTTAAGAATAGAAAAACAAGTCTATGAGCCAGTAGTTGGCAGACCCTGTTAGCAAGGATATAGTGCTTTTCGCTGTAAATCTCATCTACAAGGTGTGATTGCGTTTCCAGTTCACACTTAGTGAAGAAAGAATTGGACTAATGCTACACTAAGAACCTTTCCAATTACATAATTGGGATGTTTAATTAAGTGACATGCTTAATATGTAAATCCAAGACATTCAGAAATACTCCAGCTGAACTAGATTGTAAATAGAAATGCACTTATTATAGCAAATAAAAAGGTTGGTCCATTTTCATAACTCTTAAAAGAACTATTTAGATTCATTTGAGGGTAGGCATGATCTTTGAATTGTTTCTTAAGAACTTTTTGGCCCTTTCAATGAGGTACGCTTAGAAGCTTAATGTAAACACATTGATAATTTTTTTCTTAAAATCTAAAGGCATTTCCTACCTACTCTAAGATAATGTCTAAATGCTGCTGACTTTTACTATTTTGACTGATTTCAAGTTTCAGAATGCTTCTTCTCTCATTTCAGAATATATAACCCTATCTTTATGTTCATGTACCTAGTACTTCTTGGTGCCCAGAGCAACACATCTGGTTTATGCTTAATTCATCTAATGAGAAAATAAATAGGGTAAATTAAACCCTTACTTGATGTATCACTATAGGGACTTTTTAGATCTGTCAGCATAGCAAATACCAAGAGAGAAAAAAATTCTTTACCAACCAAAATTGACTGTTTTTTCATTCTTCACTCTGAAAGAGATTTTAATGGATAGAATAAGTTTCTTCTAGGACATCCATTTAAGTAAATTATTCCTTCTGATTTCATTTGGTAGCTGCATAATATAGATCATGTTTTCTTAGACCCAACCAAACTTTTATTTAATTTCTTACCAGAAGATATCTGAGGTAACTACTTCCTCCCTTCCTCTACCGCACATCTAAATTGTGGTTCCTCAGAAGAACATTTGCATTAACAAAATTACATATCTAGAGGAAAATATTTCCTTATGCTTAATACCTAAGTTGCTAATGTATATATATTTTTTAGAAAGTTATCCATAAACCTTCAAATCTGATACTGATTTAGCTTTTTTAAGTATTAATAAGTAGCATAATACTTGTTAATCTTTATTTATCTTTTTTTAGTGAATTCCTAGAGTAACTTACAGTAGCAAAAAAAATGCAATGGGACAGTAACAAAAGTGATTAAGGAGGAATAAAGGAAATGTGTCACTTAAAATAAATCACTTAAAAATGGAGAAGTTCTGCATTTTGAGAATCATTCATTTCTGAACAAGGTACATTGAGCAGTTTACATTAACACATAACTGACACTTGTAGGAAAACTAATTTTCTATTTATTAAAATAATTTAAATTTGTATTAGCCTTAAATATTTCGTTTGGGAAGAGCTTATGTATGTGGATTTTGAGAAAATATTATTGGCTTATTTGTAATGTTAAAAATCCCTAAGAAGTGCACCTGTGCTTCCTTACATATATAATTATTTTTAATTTGTGTTTTTGTACATATCTTACAGAAGTAGAATGTTCAATTAGTTGTGTGTTACTTGACTTATCTTTCTACCTATCTTATGTCTATGTATTGTCAGTTTTAGATGGCAATGTCATAGATGGTAGGCCAAAAACTGCTTCAAATTTTCTGAACATCACATTACATGTGATTCATATGTTATTAGAATGACAGTGATGTGCTTATTTTTATGCCTTAAAAGTTTAATTTCAAGTGAGATACACGCCATTTAATATTTAAAAAATGATTATCCACTCATAGCAAAAGGGAAAAAATAAACTCTAAAGAATGAAAAGGTAAAAAAAACTTGCTTAAATTTGTTTATACACTAGATCACTCATAATAGCAACAAGCTATAGGATAATAATCTGCATAAGCTGAGGTCCGACTCTAAACTTGAAGTGCATGCCTTTATTCATAAAACTTTTCTTAGAAAATGCATTTGTTATTGGTTACACATAAAGTGGTTTTAGTTGTCGTAGATAAGTGAAAACAATATGCTAAAAAGTGATAAGAGGCTGTTAGGTGAGAGAAGTATGGCAAGTTTCTCATCACATAATAAATGTTATAATATATATATACATACAAGTATATATCTATATGTATATAGTTACCTACAGCTATGTAATATATATTCATCTACTTACCTATCTATTTATCTAGATTGGCAGACTTTTTAAAGTTTAATATACCTGTCTTTCTCTGTCTCTTGATTCCAGTTTGATTCTTTGTTGTTTGGATACAGTATAAGGTAAATGATTATGGAAAGAAAAGGCATTTTTGTACATAGATACTTTTTTTCCAAACTGTTTTGTTTTAACTATTCTATTTGTTAATAAAAGAACAAACAGATAAGTAAACTGACCATTAAGTATTTAAACAACTAAACAGATGGGTTACCATTTGGATAAATTATCTTTACAGCATGTAATTAATTTCTGGTATTATGATAAATTAAAATACAGTAACTTCTAATATGTCAGTGTGTTTTTAAAAAATCCAGAAATATTTTTGAAAATATCACTTTTGAATTTCTTTGTTATAATGTAATTCTTTTCCTTCCACAAAATTATATCTACTTAATTCATATTTCTAGATACCAAATGAAACAGAAAGACATAGCTCTTTTTAGTATTAAATATGAACATATTTTTCTTAAGAGAGCACTTAATCTACCCTGAATTTCTTTTCTTCTAATTTCTTTTTCATTATTAATTTCTCCTTTCTTTATAACATAAAATGCCAGACTTGAAAATATTGAGTTGCATTAAAAAAGACTATTAAAATAAATTGTGAACCACATCTTTTAATCCTTTTCTGTTTTCAAAGACACGTGGTGTTCCAAGAATTTGTTCTAAAGCATTATGTGTATAAATACTTGCTCTTATTTACAGCAAAAGGGAATTGTTTTTTCTAGGAAAGAAAGTGATTGCTTTTTCAAAGTTTGCAGATTTGGCAAGTTGACATGCTGCTTAGTACTACTAGCGATGCCTTCAAGTAGTGTGACTGCCTCAGGAACTTAGCATATACCTCAGACTTTTATACAAGGTTTTCCTGTTTCCCTCTCTTGCCATCCTTTTCCTCTCTCTCCACATCCTTTGTCTACTAGTATTTCTCTAGGACTTTCTCTCTAGCTTTTCTTACCCTGTATTTTTCTTGCTTCCTCTTTCTCCTGTTCCTTTCTCTGCCTCCTTATTTCCTTTTATTCTTTGACTCTTTCATTCTCAGACCATTGAGAAGGAAATGGTAGAAAGGAAATGTTAAGCAAAATACTTTTTTCAGTTTAATGAATAATCCTTCAGTAATTTTTAGATTTCTAGACTTCCTGGTGTAAGTTTAGTTAGCTTGAGATAAAATTTTTAAAGATGAAGCTGTGATTCCTTCTTTGAGAGGACCTATGGAATTATTTGGTGAGATATATATAGTAGATGAGTTACTACATGTACTCATGTAGTAATATGTATTATTATATGTATTTTCTAGCACTATTATATATTTTATTTATATATAAAATTTTGAAGATGGTGATTATGTTTTATGAGTAAGCACATTCTACATACATTCTTTTTACTAGCTTTGATAACATATTTATAGGCATATTATTTCCTATTGTTTAATCTCTATTATTTATCTTAATCATATCTTTAAAACATTCCAAAAAGCGTTTTATTTCTAGCCCTGTGACTTAGATGATCCATTATGAAGTAATGAGAACACTGTTTATCACAACTGTTTATTTTTAACTACGCTAGTAAAAGCTCAAATACCTTAGTATAATACATTAGAGGTGTGGAGCGTGAAGATAGAATCTTTATGATGAAATATGACGCATCTAGAAAGCTAGTGTATAACAACAGTGGTACTTTAATATTATTATTAAAACATTAGATAATATATCAAATATTACATAAAATTATAGGTCATCGTCACTAAGGAATTTATTAGCGATGACATACAGCTGTGAAATATGTTAACAGACATTGGTTGTGACCACATTTTCTCTTTTCTCTGTCTAGGTACCTGTGTCGGTGGCCATGATGACTCCCCAGGTAATTACCCCCCAGCAAATGCAGCAGATCCTTCAGCAGCAAGTCCTGTCTCCTCAGCAGCTCCAAGCCCTTCTCCAGCAGCAGCAGGCGGTCATGCTGCAGCAGGTAATGTGGGTTACCTGCTTTGGTGTTCTCGCCTGGCACGGGAGGCACGCCCTCATGGTCACTGCATCATGGGCATATTTGACAATTTATTCTTCATGTGAAGGGCCAACTTATCGGCACCTGAACATAACTGTGGTGCTTTAATTGCTGAGCTGCATAAGAACAGACCCCTTATTGTTGTTTTTAGATTCATTGAAGTGTAGAATAAGAGCAGAGAGAGGTGTAATTGTATCATGGAATAAATCAGTATTTAAATATCCAAATGCTTAGGTACATTTGCTTTGTGGACTTGCCAATAAACCTACAAAGAGTCTCCTAGATAATTATTACTTTTAAAACTCCGCTAACTTTAGCACTCTTTTTAGTTCGTGTAAGTATGAAATTTGAACTGGCTATTTTGTTACCATAGGGAAAGTAACACCCTAACTCCCCCCCCCCAAAAAAAATATGTTATTTGTTTAGAAACTGAAGTATCTCCTTATTAGGACAAAGTTAAACAGCTAAGCCACCAGCTCATAAAATCATAAAATTTATCTTTTAAAAAAAAGTAACAGAACTAATAAGTACATCACTGGACCCCTAAGTATATCTAGAGTGGCCTTGATGTCATTGAGTTGCCTGGGGATGATGGTGACCACAGGCCAGTCGCTTCTATCTCTGTCTGACATTCTTCTGTACATCTTCTGACTACATTTTCCCCAATCAGAACTCAACAACCCGATTCTCTATAGCTATGTATTTGGGTTGTATAAATGGTCGAGTATAACCTATTTTTACATGCTACTGGGACTTCGGATGTCATAATTTAGGATATTTATTTGGTTCTGGCCCTTTAGAATACAGATTTTCTATACTCTTTTATTTAGGGCTTTTTGGATTCTGGATTAGAAAATTTCAGAGCTGCCTTGGAAAAATGTGTATGCAGATGTCTCCTTAAATCCAATGTCTATTTTTGCTGTTGTCCTTGGGAGGCAAATCTTAACGGACACTACCGTATGCCAGTCTAGGAGAGTGTAGGAGATTTGTAATACATGAAACTTTTGCCTTTATTTATTAAAGTCAAAATGGTTTATTCAGCAACAACTACAAGAGTTTTACAAGAAACAGCAAGAGCAGTTACATCTTCAGCTTTTGCAGCAGCAGCAACAGCAGCAGCAGCAGCAGCAACAGCAGCAGCAGCAACAGCAGCAACAACAGCAGCAGCAACAGCAGCAGCAGCAACAGCAGCAGCAGCAGCAGCAACAACAACATCCCGGAAAGCAAGTGAAAGAGGTAGGATCTGGCCTGCTCCTTGGTGCAGAAGAGAGTGAGGTTGGGACGAAGGTGCAGCCGGGGTGGGCTCGGATCTTCCTGTCACAAGGCTTTTGCTGTCAAAGATGCGTCCTCATGCATTTTTCCTGAGCTGAGTAACAGTGACCGCAGCACCATCCTGCTGTCCTCTTTCCGTAGCTTGGAACTTGAGAGTTCCAATCCAATGCTGCTGCCATCTAATGTTCACTAATGAATCAGTGTACAAAGAGCAAGCTGCGCGCTGAACAAAGTACCGATTACCTCGTGTTTACGGAGAATCTAAGTTGGTGAGGGCACCGTCTTTTTCTCAGGGCTGCCGCTCAGAGCACATGCATGCAAATTTGACCTATTGTTGGGGGTTGGGGGGTCTCGGGGAGAAACTGGTTGAGCACAGATTTCAAAGTCACAGGCCTCTGATTAATGAACTGCTACTGTAGGTTTGGAGTGGCGAGTAGAAAGTTCCAGTTTGATATGCTCATAAATCAATTTGACAAGCTGGCTTCTCGGGCCTAGCTTGCACTTGTCAGCAAACTGCATCAACTATAAACATAATACAAACAAAACATGTTGAAGTAGTTAAATTGATCAGCAGGTATCAGAGCCTTTGTCTTCAAGCTGCCATTATGCAAACGTCCAGGAAACAGTTTTGACCTCCCGAGGCTTTGATTTTGTTTGGATTTGTGAATAGAATTTCAGACAGCCATCAACTACAGAATAGAAATTGCTCCCTTATTTCTCTGGAGGCTTTGGGCAATCCACATGACTTGCTCCATTATGCAGTCTGTTTTCCAGTGAGCGCATCAGAAGTTTCTTTTCCCCAAACTAAAAGGAAAGGTCTTCCGCAGCAGCTTGTCTTTCTCTGAAGTTTGACTTCCTTCCCATACCCTCCCGAGCCCAAAGAACTAGGGTTCGCATTGTCATGCCTCACCAAGTTGGAAGTTATACTTTTCCTTCTAATAAGGGCACTTTTTTGGCCTTGAACATAATTCAGCCTTTAATATATTCCTACAAGAGAGGAGAGGAAGGAAGAGAGAGAGCTCACAGGCCTATCCTGTGAAGGTTACATCCCAGTTCACTAATAGATCACTAGAGACCACATTCATGGACCTCTGCAGATCAAAGTATTCCACTGAGGGGGAGAGGGGGAGAGGGTGTTGTTGAACTTGACTGTTTCTATAAACTGTTATTCTTTTAGCCGAGGTAAATGTACTATCATCTGCAATAAGCCCATTATAAAAAAAAAAGTCTGAGCTTTTGTTATATATTTCTCTAGCCCTTGTCCCAGACTCTTAACGCAAATTCTTTGGTTCTCTGCTGCTGCTGCATAACATTTGAAAGAAAGGCAACTGAAAATCTAGAACTTGCATGCATTCTGCTCGTGAAAGCTTCCTGGGTGGTGAGAGGATGTGCGTTTCTCTGTGTGAGGCCTGTGTGCGACCATGTTCTGTGCTGTTGACGGGGCTGGGTGTCCTGGCAGCAGCAGCAGCAGCAGCAGCAACAGCAGCAGCAGCAGCAGCAGTTGGCAGCCCAGCAGCTTGTCTTCCAGCAGCAGCTTCTCCAGATGCAACAGCTCCAGCAGCAGCAACATCTGCTCAGCCTTCAGCGTCAGGGACTCATCTCCATCCCACCTGGCCAGGCGGCGCTTCCCGTCCAATCGCTGCCTCAAGGTACCTGCAAAACGTGTGCACTTCATTTCTAATGTGACACTTCCTACCGGTTCGTGGCCTGCCTACCGTACACCTTGAGAATTTTGTTTCTGTGGCCTTCAGGTTTATTATGAAAACACGATTAACAAGATTGCATGTCACATTTTTTTTCGAGACACAGAAATTTTCCTACACCCTGCCTTCGAGTGTTTTGTTAGATAGTAAATGTGCATTTATTAGTCATGTGGCAGACAATTATAAGGGCAACAGAATTTAAGCACTGTTAAACATACACTGAAAATCTGCAGAGAACTGTGTTAGTGGTAAGGCTAACAATACTCATTAACACGAATGAGCTGAGTTTTGTGGACAACCGATCAGAAAAAGAAGTTCCTAATCTTCATATTGAAACCTCCACATATAAAAAAAAGAGGTTTTATGAATTTCTACAGAGCACATTCCTAGTTATGCTGTGTGGGATCCCATCATGGAAAGAGACCGGTCCTATTTTCTCTAAAATAATATTACCTTTGCATATGTTGAACATTATAGCTTTTTTATTTTTCATGATAGCTTTAAAAAGCTGTCAGCTGTGTTCTTATTTGCTTTCCTGGAAAGAAAACTGGAGGTGTGCTTTGATAATACAATAACACTATAATAAAATAATAGAATGCTAAACAATAATACAATTGTATATATTTATCATTTGACTCTTAACTTTGGGGAAATGGAAAGACTTCTAGGTAAATAAAAGAAAAATAATGGCAATAAAATGATTCTGTGCATGCTAAAATTCTCGATACAGGTAGTTAGGATCATATATTGATAAATTGCATAAAAGCATATTCTAATTTGCATTAAGATGTTGTTAGAACAAAGTTTAATCCCAATGAACTTTAGTTTGAGTTCATTATATTTGTTACATAGGAATCACATTGAAATAGTAATTGCTGTACATTTTTCTGACTTAATGATACACTAAAGAAAATCAATAGCAATTAAATATACAAAAAGTACAATTAGGCAAATAAAATAGTTTTTAAAATGCACATAATCGTTGCGTTGCCACATGAAATTAAAAGTAGTGTGGTAAATATTTTTATCTTTACTTATCAAATTGTTGTCATTTTGGATTATTTTTCCTAGAATTCCCTCTTTCACTTGATTCAGATACTCTAATTCACCTGATCCTCTAATTTACACCTAGAAAATCAAGAAAGTTTAAATAGTGACAGAAAAGCAAGGCAATAAATCCACTTTCTGTGTCATTCCAAAGAGAATTGGAATGAATCATGGTGTCACCTTAGCAATGAATGTTCTATTAACAAATTATTCTTTAGGAAAATAAATACAATTTGAGGACAAATGAAGAAATAAGGTTAAAAAAAGAAAGTCTTATAAATTAATTCAGTGTAAATATGGATATCTTTGGTAGAAAACTACATTAATACAGAAGCAAAAGAAATAATTTTATTGATTTTTTTCAGTAAAATAAAATCTGTTTTTAGAATCTAAAATCTATGCAAATCTCCTCAGTAGAGAAGCATGATCTATCATGATTTTGACTAAAACCATTCAAACAGGCATCTCAAGAAAGTTTAAAACAGATATTAGTAGAAACAAAATGTAATTTATTTGAAATATATTTGTTAAATATGTGTTTCCAAAATAAGCATACAAAAATACCTTTCTGAACAAATAAATGTATTATCACACAACCATTCTAATAGTTTTCAAATGAAAATTTTCTCTTATTTCTGAGCTTTCTTTTGATAGAATTCTCTTGTTCCCTTTTATTTTATTGCTACGCTTCACAAGATAGCTGAGAGATAAGACACACAGGATAGAGACCATTGAGGACAAGGAAGGAAATCTGAAAATGTATCTGGGGTTTGAGCAGAAAATTTATATGTTAAACAAACAAGATGAAAATCATTTTCATGTTTTTCAGTGTTTAGATGAGCAAGTGTGAAAAGTTTTACTGTGGAGAACCATCAGCCAAACACAGCCAGACTGTCAGATAAGCCAGTTACAATAGGGAAAAAAAAAAAAAATTCTTCAGAGTGCTGTGCCAGAATCCCAAAATTAGAGTGTGGGAAAGTAAAGAAATAGTTGTTAGATAATGTAAGCCCTGGATCATTTCTGCCTTAGATACTGGGTATTTCACATAAAAAAATTTTAATTTTTTTTTTATTTATAGTTTCCCAGTTCACTTTGCATCAGGCTTTGGATGGTTGACTGATTAGCCACAGATAAGAGCCATATGAAAACTGAGTAGGATTAATATTCAGTGATAATGTTCTCAGTGCATTCTTGAAAATATGCCATATTTGAAGTATTTATCCCCATGATTTAATACAACTTCCTCGGGCTGCTTTCAAAGTAAAAACTTTTTTCAACTCTATTAAATATATGTATATGAGAATCAGGTAATTTTGATAAAGGCAGGAGATATACTCACATTTTTATTTATATTGTAAAGTAATGACATGTATTCTACCATTTCAGTAAATTATTTTAAATATGAAGCATTTAAAGTAATCATGAGTATTACTATAATATTGAATTTTAATGTAAAATAGGCAGTTAGATTATCTCTATGTGTATAGAGTGACTGTAGATATACAGAAAGCAAATAAAAAATGATGGATTTGTAAATCAATCTCAAATAAAATACTGAGTATAAAGCTATTTACTACATACATAGTATAGTTTAAATACTAACTAGTAATTATTTAGAAACACATATTCATTGTCTACAGGTTAGAAAATAGGAAATTATTGTGCATGTACTTTAAATTTTGATAAAAGATAAAAGTCAGTGTATCCCAATACACAGTATATTTACTGGTTTACTATGATTACAGGGACTAAAATATATGTGGTAAAAACTTCATTTCATTCTAATGTTTTAGATATTTTTGAACTTATAAAAGTTATTTAAAACGTATTTTCATTACCAATCTGAAAGACCTAACAGGGAGTACTGGCTATGGAGCTGGTAAAATTTTGAACTAACACTTTATGGAACTAGAATAGCTTGGAATCAGAGAACTGTCGAATAATAAAGAAAATTAAGATTGTTTGAAATAATATATACTAATAAAAGGGTAATATGCTAATTAGACTGGGAGACCGGACATCTTCCGAACGTCTGACTTTCTTCTGGACAAAGCTATGGTGGTGGGGGCCAAGGCAGAGACAGTTAGGGGTGATCAGGCCGGCAGGGGACGGCAGTTGGGGGCCATGAGGCCGGCAGGGGAGGGCAGTTGGTGGCCATGAGGTCGGCAGGGGAGGGCAGTTGGGGGCAATGAGGTCGGCAGGGGAGGGCAGTTGGGGGCCATGAGGTCGGCAGGGGAGGGCAGTTGGGGGCAATGAGGCCGGCAGGGGAGGGCAGTTGGTGGCCATCAGGCCGGCAGGGGAGCGGTTAGGCGGAGATCAAGCCGGTAAGCAGGCAAGTGGTTAGGAGCTAGTGGTCCCAGATTGTAAGAGGGATGTCCAGCAGTCAGACATCCTCCGAGGGGTGTCAGATTGGAGAGGGTGCAGGCCAGGCTGAGGGACACCCCCCCCCAACCCCCGCATGAATTTTGTGCACTGGTCTCTAGTTCTATATAGTAAAAGGCTAATATGCAAATCAACCAAACGGCCGAACAACCAGTCACTATGATGTGCACTGACCACCAGGGGGAAGATGCTCAATGCAGGAGCTGCCCCCTAGTGGTCAGTGTGCTCCCACAGGAGGAGGGCTGCTCAGCCAGAAGCCGGGCTCATGGCTGGCGAGTGCAACGGTGGTGGCGGGAGCCTCTCCCGCTGCAGCGTTTAGGATGCTGGACTGCCATCAGTCGGACATCCCCTGAGGGCTTCTGGACTGCGAGAGGGCACAGGCCGGGCTGAGGGACCCCCCTCAAGTGCACAGATTTCATGCACCAGGCCTGTAGTCTATAATAATGTCATTTATGCTGAGTTAGGAAGGTGCTGAAGTTTATCTTTGGTATGAGTATTTAGTCAAAATCAATTATTTGGCTTTGACTTAACTCTCTGCATATGGAAATTTAAATAGCCAAATGCCTGCTTCAAAACCATTCTGGCATCTTTGATTTTTTTGGTTAATCTATGATCATGTGCTTGCATAGATCACCAATGCATAATCAGTGTAAAGCACCAGTAATATGAAAAAGTATGAATGCAGAGTTACTGTTACCATCATAGGATTCCCTTTCAAATCCAAGTAAGTTTCTATTTGTAATTTGGAGGGAAAATAATGTATTGTGTGTGTGGGGGGGGGGCAGTTATATGCTAAAACTCCATCAGTGAGCAGACGTGTAAATGTACACAGTACATTTATTATTGCAGGTATAAAACTTATCTAAGTTACCTGTGAATACTAATATTATGTATAATATCTAACATATATTATGAAATACATTGGGAAATATTAAAGTGTGTTGAGTTAGTTTTTGAGAAAATGTAAAAATGGTAGAAAGATGAAGATTAAATGATATCATAAATCTAATTGTTATAGAATTATTTAATGAGCTAGCATACATAATTTCATTTAGGCAGCAAGACTTGAAAAAAAAACTTCTGTTTGTCAATTCTTTATGTCTTGAAGGAAGGCTAAAGAGTGGAATGTCAGCTTTGCCACATTAAAATATTTGGATGATGAAAACTGAGAAATTATTGTTTTGTAATATAATATCAAACTTTAAAAATGCATCCTATAAAAATTGTAATATTAAAATCATAGAAGTAATTTTTAAAATATCAAATATATTCCTATATCCCAGAAGTTCCTGTTTTTGTTACTATATTTGCCTTTGGTCTCAGTTTCAGCCAAATAGTGACTTTTATTCCCTATAATTCAGCATTTGGACAAAATGTGTGTTTGATGCACCCTTCATCAAACATATATTTTAAAGATGGGCATTGTACCTACAGGCTATAGTAGCCCCTACTCAAATATAAAAATATAATGTGTTAGGTTTGGCACATTACATATGAACAAATAGTTCTCTGAAAGG